AGCCAGGCCCCCCAGGGAAGCCAGGCTCTCCGGGGATCGGCTTTCCAGGGAAGCCGGTAAGGATGCCCATGCCATGGGGCTGTGCCTGGGCAGCGTCCCCGGCTCAGCACATGGTGGCTGTGGATGGACATCACCACAGGAGGGGGCGAGGTGCCCCCCTGGCTCTGCAATGGGGCTGGCTGGCCAGGGCGCTCGGGCAGGGCTAACACTGTCCTCTGTCCCTTTCAGGGTGACCCTGGTGGCCCCCCGGGTCCGAAGGGAGAAAAGGTGAGTGGGGGGGAAAAGGGGTCCTGACCGCCCCCCGTCCTGCCCGAGGGCAGCTCAGCGCGGCAGGCAGTGGGTCGTGCCGGGGATCCCCGGCTGCAGCCGGATCTGCCACAGCTGAGTCAGCGTTGGCTCATGGTGCCGCTGGCTGGGCAAGCCCCAGCTGGGTGGCCCAGGGCTCGGCTTGCGGGAGCAGGGAACCCTCCTGGGGGGAGAAGGGTGCTGGGGGTGCTGGGGGCCGTGGCTTTCTCCCTTGTGGGTTCAGGTTCTCCTGTCTCTGGCTCCAGGGCAGCTCAGGATCTCCTGGACCCGGAGGATCGCCTGGGACACCCGTGAGTACCATGAGCCTGGAGCCAAAGCCCGGGGTCAGGGATGGGTTTCTTGGCTCAGGGTTGGGGCTGCTTGGCCGGAGCAGCAGCAGGATCCAAGCCCAGGCGCAGAGAGGGGTTTGGGAGAGCCAGCAGCCTCGTTTAGGGCTGGGACTGTCCCGAGCCATGACTGGTGGCAGGAGTTGGGGGGTGCTGGGTGGCATCACCAGGGCATACTTTGGTCTCAGGGCTCCCTGAAGCAACCCTGTCCCCTGCCTTCCTCCCGCAGGGACCCCCCGGCGTCCTGGGGCCAAAAGGAGACAAGGTGGGTGCAGCGGCAGGGTGGCCCGGTGGGGGGCTGTGCCATGCCTCGCTGTGCCATGGCCATGGGCACGGCAGCCCCTGCCAGCACGGCTCCACTGCGGTGCCCATCCCCTGGGCTCGGGGCTGCTCCCGACGGCCCCCCAGCCCAGGGCTGCATCTCACTGTCCCCACGGACAGGGTGAGCCATGCGAGGTGTGTCCCACTGTCTCCGAGGGGATGCTCGGTGCCACCGGGCTGCCCGGCAAGCCAGGACCCAGGGGAGCGCCGGGAGCGCCTGGCAAGGACGGGGTCTCGGTGAGTCTGAACCTGGGGGCTTGTGGGCAGGCATGCGGGGTGGAGGGCAGAGCAGGGTCTCGGCCCAGCATCCCTAACGTTTCCTCTTTGTTTCCTCCTCCCCAGGACAGACCTGGCCCCGCGGGACCCAAAGGAGACAGGGTAGGTGACATGGGGCTGAGGGGTGGGCTGGCTCATCCCCAGCTGGAGTGGGGGACACCAAGCAACCATCCAGCCCGCGCTGGCAGCGCCTGGCCCAGCTCCTCTGTTTCCTCCTCAGGGAGATCCCGGCATCCACGGGATGAAAGGGGAGAAGGTGAGTGTCCGTCCCTCCATCCCACCTGCCTGTTCGATGGGCAGCCCCCGCGGCCCCCCTGAGCCATGCCCTCTCCCTGCCCTGGCAGGGGGACTCCTGCCTGTCCTGTGATGCCCGCGTCCTCGCCGCACTGCTGCGGGGTCCCACCGAGGGGCCTGAGGGTGTGCCAGCACCGGCGCTGCTGCAGCCGGGGCCGCTGGTGAGTACGCGGGGCTGAGCCCTCCTCTCCCGCGCTGGAGGGGTGCCCCGGCCGCCCTGGGGCCATGTGGGTGCTGGGTGTGTGACCGCACGGGGCATTCAGCAGGGTGAAGCGGGGCTCCCCGGGCTGGCTGGCATCAAGGGTGAGAAGGTGAGTGACCCCAACACCCACCGCCCTTTCTGCACCCCCTGAGAGAGCAGCAGCGGCTGCATCGCCCTGCGGGGTCGGGGCAGGCTTGGCTTCCTTCGGGGCCTGATCTTGACCCTAATGTCTGGCAGGGGGATGGCGGCCAGGAGGGACCCATGGGCAGACCGGTGAGTGGGGATGCGGGGGCTCAGGGTGGGTGCTGGGAGCTCAGGGATGCAGGAGCCGGGTGCTGGGGGCTGTACTCTCATCTCTGCCATGTATTCTTGATGCAGGGGCTCCCAGGAGACAAAGGGGATCCAGGCGTGCAGGGGCTCAAAGGAGAGAAGGTGAGCCCTGCGATGGGGACCCCCCGGCACCCCGCTCCCTGCCCCATTCCTGAAACCTCCCCAGCTGAGACCCGTGGAACTCATTGCATGGGAGAGCCCTGAGATGGGCTGAGCAGCAGGGGCTGCAGTGCCCCCTCGCAGTGCTCTGGTCCCCGAAGCCACGCTCCGACCAGGATGTCCGCTCCACAGGGCGAGCCGTGTGGGCAGTGCCCTCCCGTGCCACAGGCCCTCGAAGGGGCAGCAACGGTGCTGGCCGTGCCCGGGCCACCGGGGGAGAGGGGCCAGGGCGGCCCCCCGGGCAGAGCGGTGAGTGCCCCCCGCCCTCGCAGGTGCCCGTTTTGGGGGATGCTCTGGCCTGACCCATTCCTCCATTCCCCCAGGGCAGACCCGGCGACGCTGGCCAGAAGGGACAGAAGGTGAGAGGGGCTGGGGAGGGGGCTCCAGCGGGGCTGGGGGCAGCAGAGGGGGCTGCAGCCCCCCCGGGCTGTGGGGCTGGGAGTGCTGTGTGCCCCCCTGCCAGCCTTGTCCCCTCTCTTTGCCAGGGGGATGCGGGCAGCCCCGGGGACCCAGGCACCCCGGGCATGGCCGGTCTCCCGGGGCTGTCGGGTGAGCCTGGCATCAGGGGTCCGGCTGGCCCCAAAGGCGAGAAGGTGAGACCCCCGCGCTTGTGTGGGGACCTGTGTCCCATCATCCCAGTGTCACCCGCCCTCTGCATCCCTCACCCGTCCCATCCTCCCCTCCTGTGCTCCCTCCTCTGCAGGGAGACGCCTGTGAGCCCAGTCCTGCTCCAACTGGGGACTTCTCGGATGTTGTTAGCATCCCGGGAAAACCCGGGGCCAAAGGCGACCAGGGCCCCCCAGGCATCGGCCAGCCGGGCAGACCTGTGAGTGCCCCCTCCCCGCTGTGCCGTGGGTGCCCGGTGGCATTGTGCCCTCGGGGCTGACCCTGGTGTGTTTTAGGGGAAGCCGGGACTGCCGGGGGTTCAGGGCC